AGCTCTGAAAATCTTTGTGGTACTCTGACTGTAATTCCATGACCACATTTGTGGTCGTCATCATGATACTTACCATTTGTGTGCTGGATTCATTGAGACTCATGGCTCATGCCAACGATTTCTGCACTGACTTCTGGTGTCAGGTTTGGTGTAGAACATTGGATGCTGGTCTAGCAGACTGAACTTTGACATTCATAGCCATTTTGCATGTGCCTAGAGACTCCAGAAAATGTAGTAAGAACTGGGCTTGTGGGCATCATTTGGCCCACCAGTGGCAGGGGAACTGAATGGTTAACACTTGACTTCAGTTTCTGGAAGATTTTCTGATACTTTGTAAGGCACTGCAAATTTACTAAACAGTGGAAGATAGCATAGGTAAAGAAGTAACGATACGTAAGTAACTCACTGTGATGTGTTATAGAGTAAAATTATGTATAATGGCTTATGTATACATAATGGATGGAACAATAAACTCTGTTTTGTGGTTCAGATCAGTCTTCTGTAGATAGCCAACACTGAAACTGGGTTCATATACATGCATGGGCATACTGAACATTGTGCTCAGGACTGAGGAAAGTAACTCCCACAGAGGATGTTTTGATTGCCAATTATGGCAAAACCAACTTAAATGGACAAAAACAATTGCTGAGGAGTTTTTCTTCACATGACAGGAAAGCCCAGATGTTGGCCAGGCTACATACTGGTTCAGCTGTGACACTGGCCCCTTTCCTTTGTGGTTCTCTTGAATACTGTCCTGTATTTTTTTTTGGTTTTGTCCCTAATTTAGGGGAGAGCAATGGTAACTAGGGCTATTTTATATTCCATCAGGTAAAAGCTAATTGCTCCTTGCACTGTAGTACAACAATGAATTTAAATGCTTCAAGATAATTAAAATTTAGAGTAACTTCTGTACCACCACTGGCTATATACTTCAGAGACACTAAGTATCACAGAGATACTTGCCATTCTTATTTATGGAACACTATTCACAACAGCCAAGTTACAGGATAAGCCTCAGGGTCTGTTGACAGATGAATGGATAAAGAGAATATGGTACAAATGGATGATAGAGTTTTATTCAGTCATGAAGAATAAAATTGTTTTGTTTGCTGGAATGGACTATATTTATGATCACTGTATTAAGTGAAATGAGCCAGACAAATATTGCATGTTTTCTCCCATTCATAGATCCTCTAGTTTCTGTAGCTACACAAGATCATATCTATAACATAAAAGCATAAGGGGGACTGCTGGCAGGAGGAAGATGAGAGGGGGAGCAAGAGACAGTGCAGGAGGGAGGGCAGAAGAGAGGGTATGGGAGATGGGTATAATCAGAGTACTTTATACACTTGAAAGAAATTGTCCTTACTAAACCCATCATATACTATGTACAGTGAATATATGCTGATAGAACAAAGAATTAAGGCCAGATTATACAAGACATGGAGATTCCCCCAAATTTATTCAAAGCAGTTGAATAGTTGAAATAGTTTGAAGGGTATCTGAATTTTTGCTTATATTTAGTATTTATTTTTAGGCAGTACCTCTTTCCTTATACCTCTTATAGTATCTATGTTGATCTAGAAATAAGACACTTTTGGACTCCTAGAATAGTACTAATATTTCTATATCCCAAAGGACACTCTATCCTCTGAAGACATTCTTCTGAGCCTACAACTTCAATAGGCCTAGAGCTAGTTATGCAGAACAGGTTAAACACTATCTGTAGTTTCCCACAAGTGGGCTCTCACTGTGGAGTCACTTGCCCGGGTACCCTGGGAAAAATATTTCATCTTTTGGAGCTGTAGTTTCTTTATTTAAGAAATAGAAACAATATTAGGACTTACTTCATAATGGCTGGAGAGTACATGAAAGAATACATGTAGTGCATATACAAAAGTACCCAGTACTTTTTGGTTCATTGTACCCCCATTGACTCAGTAATTTTCTTTATGGCACCCCTAAGTGAAAAGAACTATGTTGTATTTGTACTTATTGAGCAATTAGGTGTAAAAATGGCAACAGTACTAGTTTATGAGCTGTATGTTTCCCTCAAAAATTTAAAATATCTTACAATAACCTTGTGAGTTGGCTATGTCATCCTGGGGTATGTCGTTGACCACTTTAGGAATAAAACATCGCTGAGAATGTATTTCTCATTAATTACAGGCTGGTTTTTTATTGAGAGATGTTGATTATTATCATTAGAGAAAGAGGTTCATCGGAAGAGTAGTTTCTACATGGATAGTCAAGAAAATATCATACCTAAGGCAGTGCCATTTTCTAGGTTTGCTCTCCCTGCTCCACTGTCACTCACTGATCACATCATTGCTTTCAAAGAGATCTCATGTGCTAGATGGGCATAGTTTCTTTTGCTGGGCCTGTAATTTCAGCTACTTGGGAGGCTGAGGCAGGAGGATCTCACTTATATTTATTATATATTATATTCAATATTATACATTATTATTCAAGTGATGCCTGGGCTACCAGCTGAGTTCAGAGCCACCCTGGGCAACTTAGACCCTGTTTTAAAACAAAAAGTAAAAAGAGGACTAGAGATGTATCTTAGGGGTAGAGTGCTTGCTTGGTGTCTCTGAGGCTATGAGTTCCATCTTCAGTACTACAAAACAAAACCAAGAGTGCAAGGTTTGCTTCAGTCTCTCTTAGGCCCTTCAATCATTTTCCTTAGCTTTCCCCCTCTCCCTTTCTCCATGGCCTCCTTCTTACTCAGTGTCCAAATCCTGGTTCTTACCCAAGCCCTCCTCACAGTGAGGGGAGACCGGCTACCTAACTCAGGAAGAAGGATTGGTCTGACTGTGTTGATTCTCCATTTGGCCTGTGAGCCAGTCAGAACATGGGGTGCTGTTGGCTCATTCCCGCATACATCCTTCCTTCCCTTAAGAAACAGGAGCAATTGCTTTGAACTGAGGCTGCAGGAGGTGACCTGAGAAGTCTATGAGAGTAAATCTTTGAAGCTGAGGTTGGTAGAAGCTCTCTGAGTTTTTCCTAGAGGCGAGAGCCGCCTTCAGTTCTCTTTGGTTTCTCAGATTCACTGAAGGGAGATCTGATGTTGGAGTAATTAAGGAGGAATGAAATAGAAGACCCATGCGTGCACTGTTGACTCTGGGCCTCCTTGGTGCTGGCCGGCAGAGGTCGGGAGCGGCTGGCTGGCTGTTAGCCCCAGCCTGCAGCGTTTGCTTTGGCCATTGGGGGAAAGAGCACTTTGTGGAAAGCCAGCCTGCCCGGCCAAGCGCCTATTTTCGTCCTGAATCTGTTGAGTCCAGCCTGAAGGTTGGCTCCAGGATCAACAGAGGCCATGGAAAATGGGACTGGATGCCTGGCAGACATCACTGTGGGCTTTGTCTTCCTGACCAGGTTAGTTAGCCCTGAGCTCATGAAGGCAGGCACAATGGGGAGCTAATGACCTTGTAGCATCAGCACCAGAAAGAACTAGCTTGTTAGCATGGTCACTGTATCTCAGGCCGGGCCTCACTTCTTTCCCAGCTGTCCAGTTTAGTAAGGTGGATGTGGAGGAAAGGCTGACAGAGTCTCCAAAGTATTCGACATCTCTTAAGTGAAAGACCACCAAACTATAGGGTCAGTTATTTTTCCCAACTAAAAAGACAGGCCTCATGAGATTTAGCACACTCATTGTCTAAGGAGCGAGGCAGTGTGCATGTTATGGTTTTGAGAACTGTCCGGGTTTCTATGTGCCTATTCAACTCTACCTTGGTGACAGGGAAGCAGCCCTATGTGTGTGTGTGTAAATAAAGGAACATGCCACCCTCCCTTTGCTTTACGAAAAGCTATTTAAAATGTCAAAAACCATTCTTAGCTTACATGAAAGAAGTCGGCAGGTTGGATGTAGCCTGTGAGTCCTTGTTTGCCTTTAGCAACCACTGCTCTAGAAGATAGAACACAGACCTCGGGGCCAAAACGGGCGTGTTTGGCTAGAAGGAAAAAAGGATACGTTTCCCAGGAAGTTACAACAGCTGCCTTCAAAAAGATCTAGAAGAGGTTCAAGAGGCACTGGTCAGGGATGTCATAGGAAGACTCAAAGGCTTGACCAGGGATTGGTTTTGATTCTTTAAAGGCTACAGTATGGTTGCTGTGTAAAGATATTTCCACTTCTGTGTAGCCATCATTTCCCACCCACTCACTATCTACATCTAAATGTGCTAAGTCTTAGTACGGGATCCATTCCTCCTTGACTAGCATTTGTTGATAATTGCCTCAACTTGCTCCTTACTTTTCATACATCTTATTTTCCTTTCAGAAACTAAGGGGTTAATGTCAAAAGGGCAAGGTTCGCTGGGCAGCTGCTGCACTGTTGCCTAGCAACCCTCAAGGGGCAGCTCAGAATTTCTGCAGAAGCTTTTGTGGAAAGATGGTCTGATCCAACCATCAGGGCAGAGTAAAGAGCAAAGGAGATAATGGATGTCGAACCCATTATAAATCATGAAATAGGATTTGACTCTGTCTCCCAGAATATTGAATCTTCTTTTATGTCACTAGGGGGAAATAAATTTGCTTTAAGAGATTTCAGCTCTTTCCTGCTCCCCTCCTTTCCCCAGTGGTTTGGTCCTATTTCTCAGAACAGCATCCTTGCCACTAAACCTCCAGAGTGGCCTGCTCCTGCATCACAGATTATTAGGCCCTCTATGCTCTTAGCCTTCCCCCTGATTATCTAGCTCGTAACCTAGAGTGGTTTGATGGTGTCTTGCACTAAAGCATCCCCATTCAGTTCCCTGTACATGGCAGTGGTTTGTTCCTATCTGCTGAGCATCAGCATCTTTCCCCTCCTTTCTCACAGGAATGATTAGATACTGCGTCATTGAGCATCAGGCTTTTAGCCCCTCCCCCGGGGTCCACAGTGGTTTGATCCTACCTCATGGACTATTAGGTTCTTTCTGATTCCCCCTCCAGCGTCACCATTACTAATGGTATGGTCCTCAGCATCAGGTCCTTTTTGTCCCCCACTGGTCTTCTGAGCAGATTTGACGCAGTTTCATCTCCTTCCTGATGCATCCTGAGCCCCTCAGTGCCTAGCTCCTGCGTAAGCGCTGTAAACTGGACCAAGTGGATTGAAAATGGCCAGAAATTGATCTTGATCACTTTAGATATTTTATGACAAAGGAAAAAAAAATCATTTCTGTCGAGTTAAAATCCATTTGAGCCAGTTTAAGCTATCTGTGTAGAGCTGGAGCCTGAGGTCGGCAAACTCAGGAAGATGGCTGAAGACTATGCTGACTCAAGCCCAGACAAGGATCCAGGTATTTATAAAAGTTGGAAGTAATCTGAGGGAAAGAAAAGAGAACAGATAAGGAGACAGGAAAATAGAGGAAGTAGGCTTGATAGAGGGAAGGCTCAGAGGAGGTTAGTACAACCTGAAGTGATTATATATATATATATATATACATCTTTAGAGGTTGAAAGGTCATTTCTAGGAGGCAATGCAGGGTTTGGGGCCCTAAATTCAGGATCTGGGAGGCAGTCTGAATGCTGACGTCATCTGGCAGGCTGGAGCTGAGACTGGGTGGTTTGTGGTGCAGTGATGATGCCTGGCTTTGCAGGCCAGCTCCTAGGGCCATTCTTTGTATGTGACTCACCTCAGGCTATTTGATTGATAGTCCCACTCTGCAAATGACAACCTTTTCACCCCTTTAACTGAGCTAGCCATTTAAATTAGGAGGGAGTGAGCAATTTTGAAGAAGTAGCTAATTGCTTTAGGTAAGACAAGGTATGAATGAGTGAGTTGATGAGAATTGAGTTGGGGCATTTGCTTCCTAATTATTTTTTTTGCAAGGTGGTTGAGGAAGTGGCAGCTTGAGAATAGTACCTCATTTCTCATCCTTAGCATGGGTTCTCCTCAGGGCTGTGGCTTTATGTAGAAACTGGACTGTGTGGTCTGGATTTCTGTTATGTGCGTGTGTTCCCATCGTTTGGGGGGACTGCAGTGGAAAGGATGGGGCTGAAAGATGGAGGATGAAAACAATGCCATTTTCACAGACTGCGGCATTTCTGATGCAGTGGGACAGTGGGCAGGCCCCGTGACTTGATGACGATGACGAGTGATGTACTGCTGCAAGATGGAGGGTGGGGCCAGAGCTGGGTGGCGCAGCTGGCAGGGGGCTGCATGCGGTTCTGTGGCTCCCTACCTCTAAGGAGAAAAAAGCTTTTCTAGAATGATCTAGAAACTTGGATGCCTAAAGGGGAAGGTGATATTTTAAAAAAAAAAAAATTTGAGAATTTGTTAGGATTCTGTGTGTTTAAGATGGCTTCAGTTAACCACTGCCCATTTCTCCAAAGGGAGGATGGCGGCCATTTTACTGAAGGCAGTTGAATGGCGTTTTAGGATTAGACAGAAAGAATTAGGTTTAGAGTCATATAACCCAGGCTTTAAGTGCCATCTCTGTTATTTGCTGTGTGGACTCTGAGCAAACTAACCTTTTAGAGAATTATGCTTATTTCTAAAATACAGCTAATATCTTCCTTAAAAGATAGAAACCTTAGAGTTTAATGCCTTTGGGGGCAAAGTAGTTGACCTTCAACATTTTTGTTTTATTAAACTGGATTGTGTGGCAGGGATTATTTTTGTGTATGTGTGTGTATAGTTTAGCTTGATAAAGACAATTTCTTTCTAAATTTTTTTTAGCAATGGTTTTCCACAAATGAAGCCACTGAACTATTTTGAGGATCAAAGAAAAAATTATTCACTGGAGAATTTTATAAACTATAAAGCATACATGTAAATATTTGCTGTTGTTATAATAATATGCTGATTATTACCCAAGCAGTACTAAAGAAACCCAGTATAAAATGTCTTTTGGTGTTGCACACTCACAGGTTTCTCCGATGGCAGATTCACTTTTTTCTCGACTTCACCCTGGACCTGTGGTGACTGGAAGCCTTGAGATGTGGTACGAAGCATCATAAGCCACAGGGAGCCAAGATGGGAGAGGCAGGAGTTGGGGGTGGGGTGGGCATCATGTCAGAGATGTCGGGGTGAGTAGGATGGGGTATCACAATCTTCCCTTTAGCCATAAAAATGTGGGAACTACCTGATTTTAAGACCAACCTTGGTCACCTTGCCTGGATTCTATTACCTGCCCTGTAAAAAGCAGGATCAGGTAAAGGAGCAGCTGCAAGTGCGATGATGTGGGCTGTGGATAACATGGTATAGTGTTGGCCACAATATTCCTATTAGGGAACTATGCCGTGTAGTCAGAATTGGGAACCAGGAAATACAGCCTTTTTTGATGAAATCAATGAATTAATTGATGATTACAGTGTGTCTGTAGGGCAGACAAGAGCATGACAAAGCTTTTTGTTGTGGTGCTCTGTGAACAAGATGGAGGAACTATGAGTCAGCATTCCTCTTCTAGCTAGATTCTGAATGTGTTTTTTTAAGGTATCAAACATGCTGGATACTTAACATACATTGCCTATTTAATTCCCAGAGCCACCCATACACATGAAGAAACCATTCACAAAGGATATCAGTTATTGTCTGTATTTTTCCTGGATGAGGAATTCTCACTCAGTGTGGAGGATGAGGCCCCATTCTCTTTGGGATTAGCAGCAGCACATGGAGAAACACCTTTCTCCCAGTTCAGCTTTCTTCTCAGGAGGCCTGCCCCTCCCTGAGTCTCTAAGATGCTATGTGAGCCACTGTGATGATGAAAATGAATGGTCTTTCAGGCACATCAAGTTAGGAAAAATATTGAGCTTCAACATTATAGAGAGTTCCTGGGTAGAAGGTTGCAGGGTTCTACCTGGCTGTGGCTTGGCTTCAGCCTTTTAGTTCATGTCTTGGGTGGAGCTGTAGAATAGCACACTTAGGAGGTGGGAAAACAGACCTGGAATGCAAGGAGAAAGTAATATGCTGGATGACAGAACTAGAAATCTATGAAGAATTTACTAGACCACAAAGATAATCCAACAATAACAAAATAAAGTTGATAAGAGCAAGTGGGACATTTTGTGCTTGTTTTATAAAACAGACAAAATTCTTTTAAGAAATTACAGTTCTAACGGATGAAGCTATGTTTAAGGTAGAAAAATTAATGCAAAATCAGGTTATATTAATTATTGGATAGGCTCTAAAATTGCAGGAGTTGATTGTTTTCTTCTGACCAGCATTTGTAGAACCATATCTCAAGTACTGTGTGTGCTTGGTTATATATTTCTTTAAAAGGGGGATGAGATAAAGGAGAGATTAAGGAAAGAAGCCTAGAAAGTGAATAGGACATGATTGTTGCCTTCTGACATCGTTAGACTTGTCATGACTAAGAGGATTTTATCTGTACAATTTAGCCCCCAGAGGCAGAATGAGAGGGACTGGGTGGGGGCTGCTGCAGAGCTGCTTGGAGGGCCTCAGTGGGAAGGAACTTGCTCCCTGTGAAAGGAAGCAGAAGCCACCTGATTTGTACTAGTGACTGAGCTGGGAGTCCCCAAATGTAGCCTTAGTTCTTTGAGTATTCTTTGGCTGGTGGATGATGGGGCAATTATCAGAATGGAAGGACACAGAAGGGGGACCTTGATAAGAACTAGTGAATCCAAGGCAGAGTTGGCATTGGCTAGCCTGGCTCAGCCAAAAATGTAAAATTTCACAACAGTTAGGTAAATTATATATTTCTAGCCCTTTTTTTTGACACATTGTCTAAAAACTTAGACTTGCTTTGTAGCCAAGGATGACATTGAACTTCTCATCTTCCTACCTCTGCTCCTAAGTGCTGGGATCATAGGTGTGTGCCAATTCTAGACTTGGTGCATGCTAAGCAAGCATCCTACCAGTTGAACAACATCCTTAGCCTTATATGTTATCTCCTCCCCCTTTTCTTCTTTTCACAGATGAGAAAACCGAGGCTCAGAGAAGTCCCATGACTTGTCCAAGGCCATGAAGCTAGTAAGTGACTCATGGGGTCTTGGGGTATGGGGAGGGATACTGTATGTGCCTCAGGGTTTTCATTCTTACCTGATCACTTCTCCAGTTGAGTAACCCACTGGTATTTCCAGAGGCGCATCAGGACTGTGCAGAACTACGTCATGTTGGGCTGGGTGCCTGGAGCTGATGAGAGTATTGTGAAGATATATGATCAGCCTGCAGCCCAGCAGGTCCTGGAGGATGAGGTTGGAACACAGCTGAGCTATTACACAGGCCAAATGGCATGAGCACTTATTCATAATGTCTGTACCTTCCCCAGAACATTGTCCGCTATAGACACTTGGAAGGACCCATTTGTAAGAAGACATGGAGATCTTCCCTTTAATGATCAGGAAAGTGTGGTCTAAAGAGGGGCAGGAACCTCTCCAAGTTTTTCTGCTTAATGATTTTGTCCCTGATAGTGCCAGAAATTAATTTTTAATATAATCTAAAAAAATTAGGCTTCAAAGCACATTCATTTTCGAGGCAAGACCAAATCCCCTGTGAAAATGGCTACAAGATAGGTCTGTAGGGTTGTGTTTTCATTTCTTCCTGATTATTATATAAGCTAACATCATGGAAATGTAAAGGTACACACTCAGAGAGTCAGGCAGACTGGAACCCAAAAGGAAATATGCTAATTTTTTTGAGCCTCTAGTTATATATATATATATAATTTTATAATTAACTTAATTTCACATATCAGCCACGGATTCCCCCATCCTCTCTCCTCCCACCCTCCAGCACTCCCCCCCAATCCACCCCCCATTCCCACCTCTTCCAAGGCAAGGTCTCCCCTGGGGAGTCAGCCCAGCCTGGTAGATTCAGTCAAGGCAGGTCCAGTCCCCTCTTCCCTACACCAAGGCTGAGCAAAGTGTCACAGCATAGGCCCCAGGCTCCAAAAAGCCAGCTCATGCACCAAGGAGAGGTCTCAGCTCCACTGCCTGGGGGCCTCCCAAACAGTTGCTAGAGAGGTCCCCAGAAATCCACAAAGATACCTCCACTGTAGACTACTGGCAATGGTTGAGAGAGTGCCTGAGCTGACCTGCTCTGGTGATCGGATAACACCCTGGCTGTCATGATAGAACTCTCGTCCAGTGTCTGATGGAAGCAGATGCAGAGATCCACGGCCAAGCCCCAGGTGGAACTCCGGGAATCCAATCGGCGAGAGGGAGAAGCGACTGAATGAGCAAGAGATATTAAGACCATGATTGGAAAAAGCACAGGGACAAATAGCCAAACTAGTGGAAACACATGAACTGTGAACCAATGGCTGAGGAGCCCCCATGGAACTGGACCAGGCCCTCTGCACAAGTGAGCCTCTGGTTCTTTACTTGTGAAAATAGGACCAACAATTTGATTCTAGTCCTGTGTAGCTGGAGGTGCCTGAGGAAGTCTGGATTGAGGGAACCTGGGGAGGGCTGAAGCTCACAGGAGTGCCCCCTTCTGGATAAACAGATTTGAGAATTACTAGCCACATGTGTGGATGGCCTTACCTGGGCAGAAGGGTCTCTTCCACATAATGACTATTCAACCACATTTTTCCAGTTCTCTGGGCTTGATAGCTCTAGAGATTAGCCTCTAGATTCAACAATTCTGCATTTGTCTTGCATTCCAGCCTCCTTATTAGCTCATTTGTCCTTTTGAGGATACACTGTATTTTGTTTTTGTCACTCTTGGTATATGGTACTCTAAAGCTAAACCCAGTACTCCTGAAATGGTGTGGAGTAGAAGGAAAACCATCTCCTTCATTCTGGACACTATCCTTTTATTGGTGTATCCTAAGGATTCATTAATTCATTTTTGGTATTTTTGGCTCAACACTGTCATATGTATATATGTATTAGAGCTAAATTCCCTAAATGTTTTAGCAGGCATACCTGATAATCTACACTACCTTCCTGAGTCATTATGATATGCTGATTATTTGTGGCGGTGATACTCATGAGCTTCCCCTGGGAATCTTATTTTTTCTTTAAAAAAAAAAAAGCCCAGCCGGGCAGTGGTGGCGCACGCCTTTAATCCCAGCACTCGGGAGGCAGAGCCAGGCGGATCTCTGTGAGTTCGAGGCCAGCCTGGGCTACCAAGTGAGTTCCAGGAGAGGCGCAAAGCTACACAGAGAAACCCTGTCTCGAAAAACCAAAAAAAAAAAAAAAAGCCCAATTCTGAGCTAATCTGTGTCTCATTTATTGTAGAAAGGTTAGAATAAAAGTCCCCCCTCCTTAACCAGGTGGTAGTGACACATGCCTTTATCCCAGTACTTGGGAGGCAGAGGCAGGTGGATCTCAGTGAGTTCAAGGCCAGTCTGGTCTACAAAGCAAGTTCCAGGACAGCCAGGAATGTTACACAGAGAAACTATATCTCAAAAAACCAACTCCCATCCCTTTGAGTCTGGTTTTGCTATATAGCTCAGGCTGGCCTTGAATTTGCTATATAGCCCAGGCTGGTCTCTAACTTGTGATCTTCCTTATAGCCCAGCGGGCCTCTAACTTGTAATCTTCCTGCCTTCGCCTCCTGAGTTCTGGGAATACAGGTGTGTGGCATCATCCTTGGCTATCAATTTTGTTTTAGGACTCTTTACATACACTATATTTTTCAGAACCGGTGATCCAACCAAGGTTCCCATGTCTTCTATGCAAGTGCTACCACTGTGCCACACCTCTACCTCTTTTGATTTGGGTTTTGAGAGAGGGTCTCATTAAATTACCTTGTCTGTCCTGGTGTCAAACTTTCAACCCCCTTGCCTCAGTCTCAGCAGTACCTGGAAGTGTAGATGTGTGTACGCATACTCAGTTTGCTGATTACTCTTAAATGTTTTATGGGATCCTTGGACATTTTGTTTATGTATGCTATGTCTATTGATATTTAGCATGTTAGAACTGAAAACAGAATTCAAAAACCTACTAATTCAAGGAGAGCTTCAATAAATTCAAAACAGTTCACAAAACTTATTTTTGATTGGAAACAATTAATAATTTCCAAATAAAACATCTATGAGTTCATTTTTTTGGTAACTGTATATTGGTGAAATTATTATGGCCACTCCACGTAGTTAAAAGGGAGATTTATTAGTGGCGTAACTTACAAATGAAGGGATAGGTAGGTCGCAGGGTCTGGGAAAGACGTAGTGCAGTCCAGCGGTGTTCTCTGGAGAACTCTGCTCAGTCTACCTCCAGCGTCCAGGGTCTAGGAATCAAGAGAGGCGGCGCATCAGGATCTCCGGTCTTCAGGGTCCTCTCTCAGCCCCACCTTGTAAGCGTGACAGTTACCCTCAATGGGGGTTGGAACTTCCAGATCAAAGCTGGAATGGCTACCCACTACAACTGTACTTAGGGTCTTCCTCATTCAGTCTTTTACCGTATCACATAGAGGCCATTGGATCCCCTGAATTCTGAGTTGCAAGCAGTTGAGAGCTGCCTGATGTGGGTGATGGGAACTGAACTTAAGTCCTCTGCAAGAGCAGCAAGTGCTCTTAATCTCTGAGCCATCTATCTAGTCCTCTCACATAGATTCTTAATGTTAGGTAATTTTGACTCACGAAGGTTTTGGGACCCTCAGAGGTCCCTGGGAAACATAAGATTTTCAAAAATAAGTGATGCTGCATGAGACATGGATGTGCTTTTTAGCACTGGCCATTTTCTTATTAAAACAAACATTTTTTTTAACAAAAGGGCAAATACTGTAAGATGTTACTGCTGTGGGTTACTTAGAATATAGAAATTCAAGAGACAGAGTAGAATAGTGGTTAATGCTGGCGAGGTAGGAGAGAGGATGAGAGTTCCTGTGAAATGGGTACAAAGTTTCAACTTTGGGAAGCTGAGAAAGTTCTGGAGATGAACAGCTGCGAACGGTGGGACTGTGGTAAATGCCACCCAACTGTGTGATTATAAAAGATTGAATGGTAAACTTCATGTTCTATATAGTTTAACATGATTTAAAAATGCAGATTCTAGATACCCAGTGACCCATATTCTAATTCAACAGGTTCACAGAAAGGCACAGAATGAGCTCTGGAAGCACTTCAGAGAATACCATTTTGTGGCCTGGAGAGATCAGCACCCTCACTACTAAGTGGCCTAAGAGCCAGCACCTTCATGGAATGGTGAAGGTAAGGCCATTCTGCCCTTCTTTTCTATTTTCTGGCAATTGCTTATGTATTCCAGAACTGGCCTACCTGTGTTCGGAGGAGCCTGCACCGGGAGCTGGAATGCCACAGTGCTCATGATGGGGTCATTATGACCTGTGTTTGGTACCTGTCCAAATGATTTCACACATCATCCATCAAGTGAAGTTTCAGGTGTATTATTAAAGAGAATGTTTAGAATAAAATATGTACATATACGTACACACATGTATACATCAGAATGAAGGTGACTACATTATTTCAGCTTTCTATAAACTAAATATATTAAATAACAAAAGGGAAGAGTTATATGATTACATAATTAAAAATGTAAAATTCTATGAAAGCTTGAATGACATTAAAATATAATTGGTCATCTGGGCACTCAGACAATAATATAATAAGGTACATTCTGTCCTTATATGATTTGCATATTTGCAAAATCACCCATTTTGCTGTAATTTAGTGATAAACCAAAGATCAATTCTGGTATTTATGTGGTCATATTTGGATAAATGCAGAATCCCAACTATGGCTTTTGTTTCCAATCTTAGGCTATAAATAAAGCACTTTTCATGGTGTGTTTAGTGCCACAATCATCACATTTTTTTTTGATGATTTCACTGTTCAAAACACTCCCCAAGCATAGTGCTGTCTAGTGCTTCTAAACTTAAAGAAGGCTGGAAGATACCTTACAGATAAACTATGGGTATCACATGAGCTTCAGTCATGTGTGACGGTGCTGCTGGTTGTGATTTTGTTGTTAATAAATCAGATCTATATGCTATGGGCCAGCACTCCCTAGTACAATGTTTGCCATAATTTTATCAAACTTATCAATTGTGAATAGCAAGAAGCATGACTGCTAGCAAACATGCTGACTACATAAACTACATGTCAATTTATAAGGGAGACAATGTGATCATCAGAAAGCAAGCTATAGAAATACATAGGTTAAATGACAGGACAGGGCCAAACAAATCACACATGTTAACATTAGTGAAAAACTCTTCCATCTTACTAACGATAAAAGAACTCAAGTTGGAGTAACAATGACAGGCCATTGTTGTTGCCTATCATATTAGAAAAGATTTATGAACTGTGCTGGCCACAGTGCAATGATCTTATCATTCTTGTATACTACCAGTGGTTTAAATCAGCACCATGTCATAGGAAGTGGCTTGGTAATCTCTACAAAAACATGGATAAATCTTAGTACCTCATGACTGAGAAACTGAACTTCAAAGTATGTCTTCTGAGAAATAGATGTTCAGTTACAAATTTATACACCTTTAGTATAATGCTATCTGTAAAAGCTAAAATAGAAAAAATAGATGAGCCTTCGAAGAGGGGGAACAGATATACTATGGACTGAAACAAGATGAAAGCCTTATAAAATCATTAAATTATTTTCAAAGAACAGTTGATGACATGAAAAACATTTTAACTTCATTGAAATAAAGCAGATGTCATACAAGTTAAAAATTAAGTTACACTTACATCATATGCACTGAACTAGATCAAGGCGAAAGTAAATCAGTTTCAGGGTAAAGCATACTCTAAGTTTAATTTAGTACACACGAGTTGAGGGAAGCTCCTAATGTGCTCCTCAATAGCCACCCACCTCATTTAGTTGGACATGCCTTAGGAGGTGGGATAATGAGTTGGAATGGGTAATGGAGTCTTACTGTACTGCATCAGACCAGGAAGAACAGACTCACCTTTGGCAATGCACAGAAAGGAAAAAGTTCATTCAGACTTCTGTGAAAACAGATGAACTGACCCAGTTTTTGGAAGGCTTCAGGAAGAAGATGACTTTGGAGATGAGTCATAAAAGATATGTAGAATTTTAAGGTTGCAATGCAGGGTAAGTATTGACCTTCTTAGCCTCTTAAGTGACAGTGATGCCAATCTAGATTCTGAAGTCAATGATTTAAGAGGCATTGGAGGTGATTCTCCTTTGCAGTGTATATACCTGGAATTTCCTAGTACCTTCCTGTAGGGTTCAGGTAAGTTGTCATGTTCTAATGTTCTGATCTTGATTTCATTAGAGAAAAGACATAAAGAAATATTTCATGAATTGTACACCATCTGATGATCCACATGCATATGTAACGTGGAGAATGGATGAAGGGTGGTAGGAAGGAGATATCAGAGAAAAGATGAGAAAGAAACAAATATTTGTTGAGTACTAGTGAGCTCTAACAGTACTTAGGTCATTTGATTTTACTTAAGGTGCTTGAGGCCATTAGGTAGGCATTCATTCCAAATTCCAGTATTGCCTATGAGAATCAACACAGACCTGAAGGATAGGGACAAAATTTGCAAATGGACAGTGGTTAGAAGTAGCTGCACATGGAAATGTTTTTCAAACTAGCTACAGCGGAGGTGCAGGGATTATTAATTGGCCTAACTCTAAGGCAAAGATAGCTAAGGAGAAAGTGACTTTACAGAACTGTACCAAAGTTGCAAGAAACAGAGGCTATGACTATATTGTGCAAACTGCAGGCCATGGTACCAATTGGAGGGGTTTAGAAATTTGAACTTGGGCTCCCTGGCAGGATGGAAAAGGCTACTAAGAGAGATTTGGACTTAAGAAGAGTATATTGGATGAAAGGGCATTTCCTACTTTAACATTTCTGCACATACCAGTTCCCTCTGCTGATGGTGTCTTTGGCCATGTTATAAGTCAGTGACTAGAATGCAGCTATGCCAGTATTTGTAAATGTAAATGTATCCACCATCTCTAGAAGGCCACAAAAGAAACAGTGATCGCACCCAGAGAGGAGCCCCTGGCAGGAGTGGGGAGAGCACTTACTCCATTTGTACCTCTTGATCTTGCATTATACATGCACCTCCTTCCAAGAAGAAAACTATGAAACACACACACACACACACACACACACACACACACACACACACACACACACACACAGAGAGAGAGAGAGAGAGAGAGAGAGAGAGAGAGAGAGAGAGAGAGAGAGATCTTCATGTTTAGCCAGAGCATTTCCATCTGCTGAACTGTAATCACAAAGTGTCCCTTTCTTGTCCGTGAAGCCTTTCCCTGGCCATTAAAACCAAATTCTATTCCTATTGACCACCTGGCATAGGATCCAGTTGGTAGAATGAAGCAGAGCTACCAAAGGTAGCCTCTGAGTGGAAAGGGGAAGTACATTATGTGAAGTGGGATCCTGAACTCAGTAGAACTTCTACTATTGGTATTTCTTCATACTGTTGAATAGGAGACCAAGAAACTTCTTCACTGCTTTGAAGGTGGAAGATAAAAACCTGGAAACAAAGATTTGTTGAGAGAAGCTGAAGAAAAGGGCCAGGGCCAGGTTATGCAGAAGCTTAGTAGAGCTTAGCTGTGTTGAGATAGAGTTGCAAGTGAATGTGTGGCCCTAGAGCTGTTCAGAACTGGTTCTGACAGCCTGGAAAACACGCTGTCAGCTCCATACCCCTTAACAAACCTATCCATGGCCATTTATATAAGCAATTAGTCTTTTGTGATCTGCTGGGTTTTATCAGGCTTATTCAATAAAATTTGCCTGACTTTTGCAAGGAAGGCCCAGCACAGAGCAGTGGTCATGGGCATTCACAAAGGAGAGATGGTTTCTGTGAGAATCAATGGTTCTTGAATGTGGATTTTGTGATGGATTAGGGCCCAAATGCTGTGGATTCTAACAGAGCCGATATAGTGCTTGGTTCCTAGTAGGTGCTCAGTAAGTGTTTGTGACATAATTCGTTTATTGAGCACCTCCTATCAATCAAGCACTGTGCTAGGCTCTGGGGCCACATAGCTAAGTTAGACAAGATGCTCCCTCTTGAGGCCCTTTTGTCTAGTGGTGGCTACAGTACAATTCTTAATTATAGTAACAGTAGTGATGATAAGAGGATGTACTCAGGAAACAGAAGCAGGCTGCACTGTGAGAAGAGGCAGTAACAATACACTATTTATTCCAAAACCTTAGGAAGAAAAGGAGGGGGATAGCAAATGGAGAGGTAAGGCTGAGAGGCTTTTCCTTAAAGATGAGAGGTTTGAGCATGATGTTCCCATTAGAGAGGACATGGGTAAAGATTCAGGAGTCAAGGCAGTGAGCAGTGGAAAGATGAGGGTATAGAGGCGATTAGAGCGGGAACTGGCCAGGTTTTCCCGGAAGAACTCTTCTGAAGCAGCAGAATGTGGATGTGCAGGTGGCACCAGGGGCTGAAGGAGGAGGTTAAAGAGTATGGAAAGGGCAGTGATTGAAATAATGGATTGCAGATTCCAGGCCAGTCAGAGAAGGTAATTATGCCGAATGAGGCTAGTAAATTGGGAGAAAGTAAGAGTTCTAAAAATGCAATTAATAGAAACAGAGAAAAGTTCTCAGTGGGACAGAAGCAGCCAGAGAATAGGATATATAAATAGAAGATGACACAGGTCGGGTAGTTTTTGGTGACAAAAAGATTCTGGGTGTGACTGAGGATGTGGATAAGTGGTGTAGGTGTAGGAAGAGGTTATGGTAGTTGGATCAAGGATGTTTAAATCCGTATGATCATACAAAGGCTTGCACCAGTAGTCGAGGATCAATTAATGTGTGGGAGAAAGTAAGCAGATGCCAGTGACAGAACTTGCTGGGGGGAAATGTCAATGTCTTAGTTGCCCTTTACCTGAAAAGGGAGGTGAGCAAACATGGGGTATGCATCTGTGAGTTTGGTTTCTCCTTCTCACGGGGTTCTTATGGGAATGAGAGGGAGGACTCCAGCTACAATGGGAATGAACCAGCGTCTATGGAGTACAGCCTGTCCCACCAGTCCCAGCTGCCTAGAGGCCTAGCTAAGGATAAGGCAATGCATTGTCTGTGGCTAGTCAGTAACGTGCAACTCCACAGAAGCACTGAGAAGTGCAGGAAGGAAGAAAAACTGAATCACACAAAGGAATGGAAGCAGCATGCTCTAGGTTAATTCTCAGAGAGTGTAGTGCGTGCTGGCCCATTCGTATCTTC